TGCTAAGCAAGCAACGTCAATAAGCACTCCTAACATTCAGTGCTGTATCAGTAACTTCTACCTGCACATGTGAAACATCCAACAAAGAGACCTGATTCTTCTTCCTTTTTAAAAAATTTACTGTAAGCAAATTATTTTGAGCAAAGATGCAGAATTAAAGGCAATTACAGCCCTAACTTCAGGGAGAGTAAGGGAAATCTTATTCGCAGTGTGAGGTTTTGTCTATACACTAAATATACGTATTTTGACCAAGGATGTTTTCATATTAATTGACATCTCTTAACTACAGCATGACCTTTTCACGTCACACTGAATGCAAGAGCCCTCTTAATAGCTAGACTTGTAACCAATCTGCAAATCACAAGGCAGCTGCTCAGTGCAAAGGGGCATTGTCCTACAAGTCCTGACAAGTCCAAAGAGGATTTTTTTCCTCAATAACTAAAGATAATACCTTCAGAGATTCCCACCCTAGCAGGCATATGAGAAAGGAAGATCCTTTAGTAAGGGCATGTCACAAAGCTTTACTATACAGCCTCTTACTGATGCATATTCCACTACCTGCCTTAATAGCCTCCTAAAAACCCAAGGTGGAAGTGTGTGCCCATCCCAATTAAAGCACATTCCTAAAAGATTACTCCACCATATTCATGTAGGATCCCCTTTGCATGTTTTAAGAAAGGCATCCTTTATCCTGTTATGATGCACAGGAGCTGCTAATCCTGTTTTAGTCATTTAACTGTTTTCTACATTCAGTTTTATGTAGCAAGAGCTGGATGGCTGAACAACTCAGCTGTGTATGTATGACCCTATGAACAGGCCACAACATTGTGTTTCTAAGCACCCATTCTTCCCAGGGAAACAAGCAAGTGACCTCTGTTAACTGGTGGTTCTAGTCTTAAATTGTTCTAGGAAGACTTTAAAAGGATTTTTAAGAATTCCTTGAACAGGCAGTCATAGTGTACTAAAGGAACCAGCACAAAACAAAGCAGAACAACATTTAGTTAAGTTTGTTCTAGCCAAAAAAAGGCACCACTCAGCAAAATACTATTCCTCTAAATTTAAGACAGAAAGCACACAGAGGGTAAGGCCAGACTTACGCATCTTGAACAGGAGAGGAAAAAAGGCAAGCAGCCTCTTTGATAGCTCAAACAATACACTGAAATGTGAACACCTGACTCACAGAAGTACCAACAGGAACAGGTTAACAGCTAGAAGCTTAGAAGGCACAATTACAAACACACCCCACGAGAAGGTACAGGCAGCATATTGTCTTACAAGCAGTACCTGTAAAATTCCACTGTTATCAGAAATACAGTGACTGACTGCAGCATGCATTTTACTGGACTATGTAATTAAGTTTTTGTGAGTTTTTGTGACTTTATGCCACTAGTCCTAAAACATCTACTGTATGGATAAAAACACTTCCTTGTTTTCAGTTCTGACATCGTATCTTACAGTAGCATATTTAAGTGTAAACCTGCCCTCCTCATTACTGTACTTACTAGCACCTCACAACCTTAAGCTAACAGCCCTTTTCCATGTTTGTCTTGAGCACTAAATACATAGAACTTCACATGACTAGAAAAAAACTTGGAATTTATTCACAGTAGCTGAAGCCAGGGTAGTCACTGGGACAACAGAAGCCTTTGTAAACTCAACTGGTGCCTTCTTTCTTAAAAAAAAAAAAAGAATTACAGTGAAAGCCTATTTCTGCCTCCCTCCACCCTTCAAGAAAGTTTCAAGTCAAGTTCACCCCAAACTTCATAGTAAGAATAAAAAAGTATGAAGAATCCATCTAGGTTGTAAAGCTACTTAAGCTTTTTTTTTTTTTTTTTGAGATGCATGCATGTTTCATCTGAAGAAACCCTCATACTTACTCTTTACAGCCTGGAAGTTTTGTTTTTGTTTGTTTTGTTTTTTTTAACTTTCTCAGCTACATTGAAAATAGCAGGCATTAAGGTTTTTAAATTAATACAACATCTATCCTAAAATACTGATCTACCAAATCATTCCTGCAAAGAATATGTGCTGTACACCTGTCAGAAGACAGGTTCAATATCTGTTCAATTAAGTCATGGAAAAGAAAACCCTGTGATAAGGAAAAATCCTTTTGTTTCTTTGTAACATTCAAGGATCAGATCACCTTCATGTACGACAGAACCTAGCATCTTGGTTTATCACACAAATACCTAGAAGGAAAAAAAAATATTTCTATTTTGACAGAGAATTTGTGTCTGTGCCAGACAAGCATTCTAATGGAGATCCAAGAATACCATCTGGCTGTCTGTTTCATTCCAAGAGTAATTCCATCAGGTGGCAAAGCTTGTTAAAAAAAAAAGAGAATATGAAAAGGCCACAGCACCAAGCAGCTCACTGGGACACTTCAAGCAAGTATCATAAAATAAACAAGTGTCATAACACTGCAATACCAAGTAAACGCAAGCATTGTATTTTTCTATCTTGTCTAAATAGTTGTTTCTTTTGACAAAAAGCTGTCTTACTATTTAGAGGAGACTTGCATGCTTTCAGGTCTCACACAGAATGCATGTACTCTGTGAGAGCAGACACACATCCACAAGAACTCACTACTGCCTACTAGTTAACAATTAACACGGTCCACTTGATTTGGTAATACAAGAGGTACAAATTTGCAAGAAGTTCCAACTGTGAACCTATTTTAGAAATGCCTTCAGCTACAGCCATATTAAACAGATGTTTCAGCTTCCTGAATGCAACACAAAAGAGATTTACCTACTGTTTTTGTGTTATGCTTATAGGGTACTTCAAAAGAACATTAAAAATGCATGTTCTTAGTTATAACTTGTTACTTATACTGGCATATGCCACAAAATGTAAGATTCCCAGATGGGAATAAAAAAAATTAGTTTCCTACGGGCGAGAAATGGCTAACAAAACCAGCACAACATGATCTAATGGAAGAGAAAATAAATGGCACTCATAAGGCCCGAGCTATGCATTTCACTGTGATAAGCCTTCTCAGCATGCTTGTAAGAACAGTTCACATCTAGCACCACCACTTCAAACATACTGAACAATCAACTCTCTCACCAGGTGGTCTTATGGGTAACACTTCGTCAAATAAACATAAAATATGCACTCTATGTAGGTATCTTCTGGTTTATCTCTTCTTTTGGTGTCGAGACTCTTCAATGAGAGCTATGTATAGGCACTTCGGGTTTTCTTACAGCTACGGCGTAAAGCCTCAAACATATCCCAGGGCAATCAAGCCAACTAAAACATTAAGCCAAAATGAAACCTGCGTTTGCGAAGAAACAATCATCTTTATCAATAAACTGACATCACAGCTTTAACAGCTTGAATAGGCTGTTTAGGTAAAGTTGCAAAGGGAAGTGTCCTGATATTCAGAAAACTCCAGATTTACTCTTTTTAAAATAATAGCATTTAACTGCCTAAGATTTAAAAAACCTTATAAGGAAGCAGGTAGCACAGAACTGAAGTATAATCAAGCTACTATCTTTAGAACAGCAGCCCAAGAAAAACATTGCAAATTGGTATTATGGGAACACTTAACACAGTACCTTTAGTGACATGGAATAGCAAGCAGAGGAAGTGTTTAACAGCTTTGCTTCTTCAGGCCAATTTATGCTTTCAGTATATTGGTACAATTCTGCATTAAGTGGCTCCAAAACCTATAATCATTTCTATTTCTCCCCCCTGCCCCCTCACCTTTCTTCACTGATAAAATTCCATCCAAAACACTCTTGAGAAGCAGTCCTTGGACATTTTTCATGCTGCAGTCATATTCCTTTAACGCCCAGGTCTGTAGCAACTCAATTCTCTTCTCATTATACATTTCACTAACATCTACTTCTTAAAGTCTTTTCCTAGACACTACTACTTCTAAACCTTCTGGAAATTTGTAGCAGGACATGCAATCCTATTCAAAACTCAGTAAGAGGTATAATTTCCTTTTTTGTCCAGAGATGGAGGTGTTTGGAAGAGGAGAAAAGCAGACTAAGACCCAACATACATACAAGACTGAATACAGTTCTCAGTTCTACTCTTTCAGAACTTAAGCTAATAACTACTACAAAACAAAGTTTGTTACTACAAATTTGTAGTAACTGGAATTCTCATATAGGGTAATAAATACTCAATAGCTTCAGCAAATCTTTATTATGCTATGTGTCTTTCTCAAGGTAGCTTAAAATTAACTCTGGTATTATAGTAGCATGTCACTCGAAGTTTGGGAAACCAAGTCAAAATAAAAATTTATTTTAATTGTTTCAAAATACATGACTAAAATCTACATAATTATTAAAATAGGCTTACAGATATTCTTTGATTAACAGTTTGCATCACATAAAGGCATATTTTAAATGCAGTATTTTCACACAATGTTAACATACAGGTATTGCTAAAATTTGTCATGTAAAAAAGCATACTCTACTGAGTAGCCAATACAGCTAATTACATTCTTGCATCTTAAGTTACATATAGGAATTTTAGGACTCTTAATTATTTTCCCAAAACTAACAGTGATGCTAAAGACTGCAGGTACATGAACTGTTACCAACATAACCACGTTGATTCGGTAGTCTAAAGACAACCAGGACTTAAAGGGCTTCAGTTGAGTTACAACTTGACATCTTCTGTTCCACTGATTAAGAGCTCAGTTTTAAAATACGATCTCTTGGGCAAACAACTACTTCCATTTTTAAACTGCAAGAGATAACTGGTCAGTATTAGTCATTTAAATTGTGGTTTAAGAAAAACTAAGTGTAACATGCAAACTGCACCTTAAAGCTCAGCAGAAAATCCACATGCACCAAACAAACCGAGGGTCATTTTCCCATATCAACTTTCTAACACTCCAGCTAGTTATCAGGGAAAGCATGCAAACAATTAATAAAACCTGGTGATTTGTCAACTTTTAACAACTTCAAACTACTCAAGCAAAAACAACTGTATTGGAACAGGTAGAATAAGAACGCAAACTTCAACTTGAAGCAACTTACTGAAAAAGGTTATACTGCATATATTGCTAAACTGAACTGTAGCAACATCAAGTTAATGATTTTAGATACTTCAAAGTCTTCATTGATCAAACACTTTTGAGTACTGCTCTTCCTTTTCTGAAGTGATGCACCTTCCTCTCCTGGAATGGGATTGGAGAAAAGACAGAAGAAAAATTTTCTAGATAATAATCAGAATAAAGCAACTGAAGTTTCATGAAAAGTATCTCAAGACATTCTATGTCCTATTCACCCCCCCTCCAAAACTGATAAATACAGCTTCTGTGTTCCTGCTTCACAGCACTCATGCCTAGTTCATGTGTCTGTCCTTTTAAAAAAAGGAAGCCAAGTCTTAAATGTAACATTAATAAACAACAGAAATTAAAGACCACTTGGAATGTAATTAGAAACTGCAATTCTACAGATACTGAACACAGAGCAAAAATATGATGACCAGCTACCAATCTGGACTACAGTTTGTTGGTTAAAGTGCAGGCATTTTATAAATTACAAAGACTCACCATCCATAGCGGCTACTTATCTGGAGTAAAGACCATCAAGGCTCAAACTCAACATCCTCTATCCAAACTAGGGAGTAACCCACTGCCCCTTCAGCAATTTGTCATTGCTAACTGATTAGCCAGTCTTATGCTCTAAGTGTTTGGTTGACTGTTGAGCATTTTTTTTTTTAATGCAGTCTTGTATTCAATCCACTGAACCCAATTTCAGCACCTGTTTCCAGCATTAAGCAACTGACAGCCAACCAAATCCATACATCCCAGAGCATGTACAAGAAAAAAATTCAAATGGCATTCCAGATATTAATCCCTTCATCTTTATGGTATCCTGCAGGTGAACAAATTGAAAGTCAGATGCATTTTAGGGATTTAATTTTGATTTCACTACATACCTTAAAGTACTCTTCTTGTGATACAAAGGTGTTCCTCAGACGGTTCTCAGGATTAAACAGACAGGATACAACTGTTTGTATGCTCCTGTCCACAGACTTCTGAAATACAGTTATAGGTCAATCTATAAGAACACTCATTTTCTTAGTTAGCCCACTACTAGCAATACGGGTGGGCCACAGGGTTTACTTTGCATTTAGGATTCCTCTGAACTGCCTTTACATTTCCTGATATACTTGTATTTTCTAAAAATCTTTCCATCTTTGTAACTGATCATCCCCCTTAGACATTACTTAAAACTAACAGTTTTGACCAGTGATATGCCAGTTCACTTGTGGAATAGGCTGACAACTGAAACATGAAGTCTCCTTTAGAAAATTGAATTCAGAGCCAATTTTTGGCCAAACTGGGGTCACCTTCCACAAAAGAAAGTGAAGAAGGAAGTAAAATGTTACCAATTCAGGTGTTTGAAGCTTAAAATAAATCCACATAAGACAGCAGGCAGTGCTACGTAACCTGCTTTTTTAGTACCTGCAACTTCCCCTGTAATTCTCAGAAGATTAAGTAAAGCCTTGTCACTTAAAAACACTGTTGTACTTAATGAAGTAGAACACACATTTTACACAGCCCTCAGTGCTACAGACAAGCACTAATAGTTTCAAGAAGTGTGAGGCTTTCTGAAGTTGTACACAGAAATCAGATATAGTGGATTGAGCAACTGGCTAAAGCAGCAATTATAACCTTGATTTCTAGGATACTGGTTAGAGGCCTTCTTCACCAAGCCACATAATCCTCATGTGCAAATTTCTGGGAATAGGATTTATGACCAAAAAAAAATTAACGTTTTGAGAAAGCACCTACCTTTTGTGGACTGTTAGTAGCTGACTGCGTGGGCTCTGGAACAGCACATTCTGTCTGTATAAATTCTGGATCCTCAGTGCAGTGATAGCTTACTGAAGTATAAACCTGTACAGTTTTTTAAAATTGCAGTGTTTCAGTAATAATGGGGAAACATGCGCAGTTGTATTGACACTGGTCCTCACTTACCCATAAGCTATGCCAACTCTATCTTCACACTTTTGATAAAGTTTCAAAAGTGGGGGAAATACTGCATCCTGATTTAAGACAGTTCTACTTCCTTACAAAAAAGGACATATTCTAATCAATGTATTTTCTGCTCGCCAGAGTTAGCTCCTCAACCTACTTCCTCCATGTATAGGTTTTGGTGTCAAGTGTATTGAGCAATGAAGGCGTTCCCTCAGAATGAGACAACCAGCAGGTAACTTCAAGAGATTAAGCACTAAAAATCAAATGAAAGAATGGGAAGCAAAACATCTGCTACCACTGCCCTTCCAAGAAGTTGTTTTTCTCTGTACAGTTTCTTTCTTGTTTGAAGCTTCCTTTATGCTAGTAATACTACTTTTTTTAAGATGCAGAAAGGTCTAGAAATGTACAAGCCATTTTACAGCTTTTTTAAAACTCTCCCCCTCACACACTTCCCTCTGCTTACAGTGCAGTGTTGCAACCAGCAAACCAGTGCAGAGTTTAATTTTACAATACAAGAAAGGCTGATAAAGCTGTTACTCTTTATGGAAACATCCTTCCAGATGCTTCCAGAAAGAACTGGCAGCTTTTACAGCCAATTTTAGCAGCATCTCAATGACAGGGTTAGGCATTCTCACTTTTCAGGAGCAAAACTCCACCTCCTGCAAAGCAGTCAGATTTACCCAGTCTAGACAGTAGTGTTCAGTTTCTTGCAGTGTCATTCTTCAGGATGTTTTCTGTGATTACACATAACCACCACAATGTGTAGCACCTGAGACTCCCAAAAGCCCTTCAACACCAAAACTGTGATTTCAAATTTATGATGTTGGGAGATATGGAAGCCTACAGTGTTGGCAGACTATTCCTTTTTCTGAGCACCAACCATCAAAAGGGGTATCATATCCGACCTCATCACAACTGGGGCACTCCATATATGAATGAAAATTGTGATTATCCACCGAATAGGTAGGTATAAAGCAGTAGACACACGGATGAAGTTTCCTATCTCCTTACATACCTGTCCTCTTTTGAGTCTGTAAAGAATGATACTTAAAGTTGCTTAACTGAGATAGTTCTAGAAAGTTCCCTACTCATATAATCAAGCTTAAAATGTGCATGGTGGTTTTCATGAGACGCCTACTCTAAAAACTCTTTGGCTTGCTACCATTTAATCACTAAGTGATGTACTGTGGCTGTATCATGTTCATGGATGTTATTCAACAAAAATTATTTCAAGCCAACAGGGCAAGGAATATTTCAGTGACCAAACTCTTTCAAGTCTGTTTCTGCACCCATTAAAGCAAAGGTAATTCTCACTAATAGACATACAGACTTTCCATGAGAAAAGGACTGCTGCTTTACTGAGAAGCTGAAAAGTAAAGCTTAGTACACTTGATTGGAAGTAAGCAGGACTAAAGTATTCTTCTAACAGGATCAGAGACCGAATTGTCAAATGCATGCAAGCAGCAATACACATGCACAAAGTTGTAGTCTTCATTTTTCCCCATTTACCTTCCACACATTCTACAGACATTTGCTGAGAAATAGCTTGAAAGAAAACAGTTTCAAAAGTATTATAGCTTTCAAACACTTAATGGAAACTCAGTATGTACTCAACAAATACAAGATTACACCCAAAGAACACAAAAATGCTTAAGATGCAAGTTTAAGTTCCAATACTGTTAAAGAAATATAGAGTATTTTTTCCTCTCTTGTGGATGTCATTTGTGTGAACTCAAGAGAAAACAATTTCTTTAGAAGCTATCAGCACCACCTATAGTCTGTAGCAGCCTGGCAAATCATTTAAAAAAGCTGTTGAAAGGAGCCAAAAAATACCAGGATTTACAGAGTATTTTGAGGCTTTTCAAAAAGCCTCAAAAATTTGGAACAATAAGCAGATCTTTTAAGTCAGGATTGTGCATCAGGTCACCACTTATTTTTCCTTCAACTTTTCATAAAAACCCAATTCTGTTCATGTTAAAATTCCAGAATTCTGTGACCAGAACATATGGAGTAACACCATAAAACAGGTAGTCCTGGTCTGCCAGGCAGCTCCTAAAAAAGCATCATGTCAGTAGGAAATCCTAAACAATTACTTACTCTGTCAGCAGCTACAGATTTGTGTAGACCAGATTATATACAGAACCAGTCAACAAACAAGAGTTTGATTTTAACTGTTTCAAGCTGTCAAAACAGTGTGCTGAGAAGACAAAGTTCCAGAAGTTTAACTTTGTAGACTTACCGGAGGCATAACATAATTTCTTTGCTCCCCAGCAAGCCATTGTGGTTGAACCTTAAACAAGAATTGGACAAGAACCAGCTTTTACTCATTCATTTCCAGTACAGGCAAGTAACTGCTCTTTAAGAGCCACCATTTGTAACATTTCATGTCTGGACTTTTCATTAAACAGTAGTTTACAGTTCCATCCAGTAAGATACCTTTTTCACATGTACCTCAAGTAGTGTTTAGCACAAAGGCATCCTTACCACAAATTCAACTACCTTGTTCCTCTTCTCATTCCAAGTTTAAAAAAAAAAATTAAAAATAAGTCTTCTAAAGATTAAGAAAATAAGGTCCAACCTGACCATGACCACTTCCAGGTATGGGGTATCTACCACCTCTCCAGGCAACCCATGCCAGTGTTTCACCACCCTCATTGTGAAAAATGTCTTCCTCAGATCTAGTCTAAATCTACCCTCTTTGAGTTTAAAACCATTACCCTATGTCCTATTGCAACAGACCCTGCTAAGTCTGTCCACATCTTTCTTATAGCCCCTTACAGTACTGGAAGGCTGCAATAAGGTCTCCCCAGAGCGCTCTCTTCTCTAGGCTGAATAACTCACCGCAGTTGCAATGAAAACATCTCAAACCTCTAGTTACTTCCAGTTTAGCTTCAGTAACAGGACTTACCCACACATTTCACTTACGAGTTAAAAAATTACTACCAACTCAGTGTGTTCACAAACATTTTTAGAGCTCAAAAACATATTCCCTCTCTATATAGATCCCATATTTGTATGGCCTGATAAGACTCAGTGGTTCTGTTTTAACTAACATCAACTACCTGCACTACAGCATGTACAAATGCAAAGCTTCTTTCCACAAGAAAAAGTACTACTGAACCACATGCTTTTTGCTGGTTTGGAAATTTTTTTAGCTTGATTTTTTGTTTTAAATATGCAATGATAAAACAAAGAGTATGCTAAGTTATTCAACTGTTTTCAGTGCATTAGAATAAAAACATCACCAATTTTGTTTTTACTTTTGATTTCTGTGAAGCAGAAGCTGAAAGGAAATAGAATTCACAGAAAAAGAAACACAGAAAGATCAGACTCCAGTTAACACTGTTCATTCCATTCAAGCTTCGTCAGGTATCAAACAGCCTTTCTGCTGCTACTGAAGAATTACGTACCTGATAGTTGTAAGCTGGCTGATACCCTACAGGAACTTGCTGCTGTATCAATAGAGCTGGTGAACTGTACGGATATGTCTGCAAAATAAATCCCACATCTGCCTGTAGCTGATCTTAAGTAATTTCAGAAGTACAACTCATCCCATAAACTTTCTAAAGTAGAGCTGAAACAAACTAACTACGATGAAATAATGGACTACAGCCTGAAGATCAGTTTCTTGGAGCCAAAGGCATGTTAAATACTACAATTCCGACAATTTCCCAGCATTTCTTCACTGCAAGTATTTTGACATAATGTTAACTTGGAACCTTCTCAGTCTCTTCGGAGAGTAGTTAAAGGCACATTCCAGCATTTAAGAGAGTTAGTTCCTCCTACACTATTTTACTCTCCCAATAAACTCAGAGAATCGGCAAGAGTACTATCAAGCTCTCTGCCTTAGAAAGAAGTATTTATGCAAGTCACTGCAGTTTTCTCATTTTCATTTGCTTAAGGAAATATACAAAACAAAATCAGTTTGCAATTAATATTGCCCTGTTGTATTGCCATATCATATAGACTTAATACAGGAAGCGACCATCATCTGGAAAGCCTTCTATTCACAGTACAGAATTCATTACAGGGCCAAAAGTGCTCTGCCTACACCTCAGTAAGAATGCTTATCTGAAGTACCAGTAAAGTGATGTCCTGTAGGCACAACTGTACTGGTCAGAGCTGTTAACAGCAGATGCTGTAACACAGTGTTCTTAAAGACGCAACAGCAGTTCAGAAACATGAATTTGTTCTGCTGGTGGGGTAGGGGGGGAGTGGAATAAAAAAGTACCACAGCCAACTTCCAGTTCCATACTCAGTTTCAAAAAAAAAAGTCCGTGGTTTATTCTGAAGCAGGGCAGCAGCACATTAAATATCCAGATGCATTTGATCTGTGAAATGAATCTGTGACAAGTAACAATATCACTTAAAAACTGTTATATAATTAAATCTTAGCTCTACCGTCAACAGTTTTCTCATTCTCAAAATAAAAAGTATCTCCGTGTCTTTTGTTTTATACAGAGATCACATCACTGAGTAAGTTTGTCAGGGTTGTTGGCATTCTTTTAAAGTAGTTTGAAGTTGTGTGCTTCTTATTGGGAAGGCAATAGGAAAACAAGTGGGTAAAATAAGACTGGAATCTCAGTAGATATTCCTGAAGTTCTATGTGCTTGCACCTACAGAAACATTTAACTGTGATTCAAAAATCAGTGATATTGAACAGCCTTACCTGAACATACTGTGTTACTGGGCTCATTACAGCCGGAGGCTGCATGTATGTCTCTGTATTTTGATTACCCCATACACTATGGAACTGTGGTGCAGGAGGATTGAAGACTAATGGTCTGGGATGCACATAAGAACCTTGTTTTAAAGGCAAGAAAAAAAAGTATTAAGACATTTTCACATGTACTTCATTAGTAATCTAATTCAAGCTGCAAAAAACCTTGCATTTTGACTCTTAAATTTAACTAAATATTAACTGATTAACTGATCATTAATTGTAATATCAACGTAAGTTTTATTATCAAAACCGTACCTCACAGAACTAGTGAGGTCATAAAATTGCAAACTGGAGTTTAATTGTAATATACATATTACATCAGATAAAAAGGATTTGCAAGAATGTTCATGTATAATTAAGAAAAAAATGTGTAATACATACTTGCAATATGAACAAATTTGCATATGTATACTTACACAAGTTTTGTTGCTTCCTAATTGCTGGCCCCAGTTTCAGCTTTTTGCCATGGAAGTTGATTTGTGACTGAAAGACAAGTTACTCCGTAAGCTGGGGAATCAGTGAGGTGGATGGTATGTTTGATTTTAAAGAGACTGTACTCTGCTTCTACACTGCAGTATCATCAACTCGCACACAGGCTCCATAGCCTCCATGCTTCTCTCCCACCTCAATATTTTATGCCTTTTACCTTTAATTTCCTGCAATGCTTTCACAGCACACCTGTTTGCCTACTCACTGACTCTCCAAAACTATTATACATCACTTAACAGCAACATGCACTACTAGTAGTTTGTCAGTTAACCACCTATTAGTGACTGTCAGTCTTCTGGTTTTATATACACAAATTTGAACTATTCTTGCCTCAGGCACGATATTAATGTAGAGTGACCATAGTCTAGGTTCCCTTGAAACCCTATTTACATCACCACTTACCTTCCTTCCCACAAACTTCCTAACAGGCTCCATGTAATATGTTAGAAGCTGTCCACCCAATATTAAAGGAACTGGGAGGCTGTCTAAGCACTGCTGTTTACCTGCATGTTACTATATTCTCTCTAGAGAAACTTTCACATGTGTTCCTTCAGAACAGCAAACATGCTGATACTTTACACCTTTTTTTGGCCAAAGCATCTATGCAGCACACAGACTAATCAAGAAAGAGTGAAACTGAGATATGGTTCACATGTTCCTCAAATGCCCAAATCCAGGAATATAAGCATCAGAAAGACTTGCAAAACAGGGCTGGAAGCACCCCACAGTGGGTCAGCAAATGCCGGAGACACAGATAACTTCTCATTCTGCAAGCTCTACCCAAAACACTAGTTCACACAGAAGGCAGAATTTCAGGCTTTCGATGATTAATGATTCAGTATTGCTTTGCCAGCACAGTATCTGGGGTCATAACAAAAACACAGGAAGAATTTTAAGCACCCTCCCTATATGAAGTTGAATTCTGTGTTCTTCAGTGAAACTGCTTAGTTTGAAAACTAGAACATTCACTGATGGATGTAGGCTGGCATGGCACCACAACATCCTTATATTTCAAGGTCTGTTTGGACTGACTGTAGAAGAGGGCCTGTAAGACCTTGTTCTCTAGAAGATTACAGTTTAAGTCTGGTGTACAGAAAGTTCCTTTAATACGTTTAAAGCAGATTAATATTTATTCAGGTACTCAGGAACTTCACACAAAAATCCCAGAGGAGAATTTACCTGTGGGTCTGATCTCACGTTCTCTGCCAAGATGGTGACAAGAAACATGTTTACCTACCTATAAAGGTGTGCACAGCATACATGACACTACCTAAAGTAAGTACTCTTACAGTTCAGAGAGCTACATTGAGGTTTACAAATGCTTTACATATGAGAAGTGAAAGACTTTTGTTTTACCCCCATTAATACAAATCTAGTAACAAGTATTAAAATCACTATTAGATGCAGATACATAGTCTGGATTTATCTAGATTCTCTCTCTCATACAACACTAAGGACTTACTTGCTTCAGAAGAAAATATGCAGCTTGCAATTTTAACAGATACCTCACTAAGCTTTCCCCCCCTTCTGCTAAAGAAAGTGCTTTGAACAGGTAACAGCAACATCATTGCCAATGGTAAAAAAATGAGCAAACTAAGCACATAAGTGATAAAAAGGTCTTATTTGATCAGCTTATCATACTGATAAAAATAGAATAAAGTAACATGGGGGGAAGGTGAAATGCCCTTCCCAGTTTGACAGCTGTTTTTTCTTAATTGATCCTGCAATCCTGTTGTGCCCAGAACCACACAACCATCTTTTCCATCTAGGCAATGAGAGCTCTTGGAAGACAGGCCTCCTTCTCAAAGCAGAAGGTAGCTTTCTGCTCTAAACTGCAAGCAGGTTCACTCTGAACCAGAGTGCAGTTACAAATGGAATCAGACTTAAATCAGAGTGCTTTCAGGTTGTACAAAGCTAGGCAGATAAACACAGGCTTCTAGAGGGAATATAACCAGAGAGGCTCTGTGTTGTTCATTTACATACAACATTGTGACCACCCAGTAGAGATAATGCCTGAAATTGAGTGACATGATCTCTGCTTATGACTTGAGCTCTAAAAGAGAGATGTTCCTTCTTTCCCTTTTTCCATCCCCTCTAGAAGTAAACAGCTTTTTATGATGATTTCTATCTGGACATGCTTCTTCCTGACAAGGCAGTAATTTGTACTGCCTGTACACCTGAAATTTGCACTGAAAAAATCCACCGTACACTTCTGGGTCTTCCAAGACCTCTGGTATGCAAAGACACATCAGCGAGTACTGTACTAATAGAGATACACTGAGGGCTCTTAGTTTTGAAGAAATGCACACAGAAAATCAGAAACATACATGGCTCAAAGGACAATGCTACTCAAGAGGTCTCTACAGAGACTGTTGCCTCAGAGCAAGCATTCCACACTGATCTAGTAAAACACATATAATCCATGGTAAAAACAGTATTCTCAGATAAAGTTTGTTGCTCAATACAGCAGTATTTTTGTACAGCAAGCTTTTGAAGCCTTTTGGTGAGAATCAAGACTCTCCTGCTGGAGTTTCATTGTTTTTTCACTTTTAAACAGGTTTTCTTTCCCCTTAAGGAGCTGGACAGCCAGTAAACACATCTGAACACATCACAGACTGAATTTGTGCCTGGCACATTTATCTGGATTTGTCTTTCAGATCTACTTCCCTATCCGAGAGTTTCAGAAGCAAATGAGAAACTGTTCTTTCTCCAGTAACATGGGAGTTTTCTGAGGCAAAGACCACAGAAAGGGAAATATTTCAATACATGTTATTTTCTACAGTTACTGCAGTTGGTTTTGGGAGAAAGAGGGAAAACAAAAAGCTGTCAGTGGTTTGTGACCTGCTGAAGTCCATCAGAACCAAATAACAGATCTGGTTGTAAGCACTGAGGTTTAAAATTTCCCTGAACTCTAAGAGCAGAAGGGCTGTTAACAGTTCTACCCCTTTATCTCCTGTGTGAACTACAGGAAAACCATGCAACATGTGAACAGTTGCATCTTATAGTCTAGGAGGCTTAAAAAAAAAATAGTTGCGCTCCAGGTAATAAGCAAATGCACAAATACTGCAAGACAGAAACACATACTTCAACTGCTGAGACTTAAGTAAAAAAACAATGCTGTTTTCTATGTTACTGTTATCCCCAATAATAATACTGAGAGGTCTATGTATCTGCCATAAGCACAAGGGTTCTATGACAATCATCCAATACAGAAAGAAAGCAGCCAAAAACAAACGTGAGGCTTTCAGGCACATAAAGAATGAGAACCACCAGAAATACAATGATGTGAGAGAGTCAAGTACACCAAGGCTTGCTTACTTACATAAATATACAAAGATTCTACCACCAGCAGAGATTTTAGCAAGTTTACTTTTTGGGCAGCCCTAGATTTTACTTGTTCTAATTTACTCTACAGGGTACATGACTTTGTTTCCCCTGAACATATATCTCCAGCCTTCATGTATCAACTTCTCAGATAATTTAGACAAGGAGCTTACTTCTACTATTTTTTGAACATCCACATTGTCCAGGAAAGATACAAATCCATACCTGAAAAGAAAAAAACAGGTTACTCAATAACCAGATTTTTACTTGTTAGCCAAATTATTTTGAACAAGAACAGTTAACAGCATATACACTAGGTACATTATACTGCATGCCAAAAGTATCAAGTAGGACATAAGTTTATAATTCATCATGAAAATGTATTTACAGCTAACTAGTAGCATATACTATGGGGACAGATGAAAATAATTGCATGCCACATTCTAGAACAATACAAAATAGATGTCAGGGCTATTATTCCATTTCAGCTACTCAAAATGAGCATTACTGTTGATATTACTAACTCAGAAAGTAAAAAAAAACAAAAAACACACTGTTAAGTATTAAGATCTGAATTATCATCAAATTGTGGATTTACTACAGAAGTTTGGATGAAAGCAGGCATTACAGGAACAGTGGCACCAGTGGGGGAAGTGATCCTTGAAAATGTTTTTCAACTTATTTCACTGCCCCCCTAGTTTATCTAGTCTATAAAATTAAGGTAATTTCAGAGCATTATAGGAACAGTTGTGTCAATCAATGGAGTATGCCAATTCGTTATTGATACTCTGAACATACTCTGGCTAATTGTACATCAGAATTCACCAGGAAGACTAGCAGGGGGTATGAAGCAATAAAACAGATTTCCAGTTCATGCATTCCTACATTACAGCCAAGGAAAAGTGTGACTTTTTAGGACCTGCTCTTAAGAGTCTTTGAAAAAACTGGGCTGGAAGGAACCTCCAGACAGTGAAGCCTCCTTCTCAAAGGAGGGATAACTCCAAAACTGTGAAAGCTTCCCCAGAACCCAACAAGCTAAGGTCCTACATTTATTTAAGTCCTACACCCTTATTTAAGTGTACCACCACAGACATTTTTCAATATATCCAATAGGAATTTCCCTTAGTACAACTTTGGTCACTTAGTTTCACTCTTCACCCAACGAGTTTGGTTGTTTTCTCTATAACTTATCACTGAGTGTCAAAAGAGTGCAGTCCCATTGCCCTGAATAAACCATGTACTCCTTAACCATCCTGAACTCTCTCCAGATTGTTGTTAACTATAGCCATCAGAAGAGTCCTACGAAAGAACTGTCTGCGTAAGCATCACAGAAGTTTCAAGCTTTGTTTCCCCTGCTTAAGTGACAATAACCTATTTTCCCTGAACATATAGACTGAAATCAGAAAAATCAGGCTATTCTTTATAAGATTATACAGATTTACAGGCAATCCAGATGGAAAGGTTTCACAGCATTAATTCACCACAACAGAAAACTGCAGCTAGTGTTAAGGCTTAAGCACATCCAGTGTGTTGCTACATAGCTCCTCATATCTATGACAGAATTATGTCCGTATAAGCATCAACTTAAAACAACTATTCATGTTCTACTCACCCTTTGGAAACACCAGTTCTGTCAGTGATTATTTTCACCTCTTTCACAGTACCGTATCGTTCGAAAAAACTCCGAATTTCTGCTTCATTCATCTAAAAGAAACAAAGTCTTCAACTTCTTCAAACACATTCAAACGTTTAGAACTGATTTAAAGGAGCCAGCACTATTTTTTAAACTCATCTTCTATTAGTCTAAGAACTAAAGTTACTCACCTGTTCCAAAATTCTCTCCTGCAATATCTTAAGATTGGTAGGCACACATTAACAACTTTAAGATTGGTAGGCACACATTAACCCCTGGAGTAAATTCCTATTTCCTTCCCACTGAAGTGCCCTATATCTATCTTAAACAGTTAAAAGTATATAAATACCCTTATATCGATTCCACCAACAAAGACCGAGTTTGGCATGATTTTTCCTTCTGGTAAAACATATCCTTGACTGGTTGTTGACAAACGGGCATTATCCTCTGAAACACCTGCACACTGGGCCTCCACGTTTGCAGACTGAAAATTTAAACGGAAATACATATTTCAGTCAAACTATTATAGTGCACTTTAAGATACTAGAATGCTTGCATCTTCCTATAGGTATAGGACAGGACCATGAATTTCAATAGCATCTTTCCAATTACTTAAAGGAAGTACATAGACCATTCATTGGAAAAAGGTTGCAGTAATTAAAGAAGCTTGAAAAATTTGAAGTAGCCTAGGTTAGATCTAAATTTAAGTAGCCCTGTCTGACTACATGAAGCTTGATGACCAGTGTTGCTACTACAAGGCACACATTGAAAACAGCAAAATAATTCAGTTCAGAATTTTAACAATTTCCTTTCAGATGTGAGCAAGAAATTAAATTCTTTAAAGATACAATTTACTGTAAATTCATTATCCAGCAGAAAAAATTCCATCATCTTCCTGGTCAAAAGCTTTAAATACTCGACATGTGAATTAGTTTACAAACAGCCACACAGCAGGCAAAAGGGTCATACGACAAGTTAGCTGTAAGAAGGGATATCAGACCTTGATGTCTGATAGTCACACTACCCATTCTCTCAGAAAAAAAAATACGTCAATTTAACTACAACAGGAATATGAATGACTACAAACTTAAGTTGTCTGCACCAAAGCAGGATCTTAAGCATGAACTGCACATACATAAGAACTGCAAAGAATGTTAAGATTACAGAGTAACTACAGTCATGATGTGCTTTGCACTCCCAGGCTTCAGATGCACACTTTTTGGTCCTAAAGCATTTTTTCAAAACCTAGGAGTCACAGATTCATTTGGTGCAGAGGAAGATACAATGCTCCCTAAACAAACTGTAATTCAGTATTTTGTTCAGGCAAGCAGACCACATGCCAATTCCATTTCTTGTTAGAGATGCTAGCAAACATGTGGTCCATACTCTGCATGAGGGTTTAAGAGTGTTTTACAAATGTATTTACAGGAACTAAAATACAACATAAGCACCATGCACATCACAAACTCCAGCCCTTCTACTACTCTCCTGAATGAATGGTTCTAGCTATGTGCCATGCTTTGCCTGGCTGGTAAGAACTATTCTGACCAGTTCAGTGTGACTCATCCCTCTGTACTAATGCATTTCAAAACATTAATAAGCTTTTCCTTACAATTCAACTGGTGTGGCTTTATCCTTACTTCACATATTCCCAACTTCGATTTAGTCAAAGTTATCTGGCATTTCGAAATCTAATAATTTGCAATAGGTAGCACATAATTTTTCAAAATAGGAGTTTTCAATTTTAATGCATATTTAAACTACAGCTGTGAGTGATGAGTACTCATTCAAACTGGACACCCAGTAAGGAAATGAGAAAGTTGCAAGAACCAAACTATACATGCGTCCCACAGAATCACAGAATGGTAGGGGTTGGAAGGGACCTCTGAAGATCATTTGGTCCAATGCCCCTGCCAAGGCAGGATCACCCACAGCAAGCTGCACAGGAACATGTCCACTTCGGTTTCCAAAGTCTCCAGAGGAGACTCCACAACCTCTCTGACCTCCGGTGCTCCATCACCCTCACAGTAAAGAAGTTTTTCCTCATGTTGAGGTGGAACTTCCTGTGTTCCAGTTTATGCCCGTTGCCCCTTGTCCTAAACGCCCCACGATTCACCCAGCAATTAAACAGAGCCAGAAGTAGAATTCAGCCCTCTAAATAGGGTTTCAGTGCAACTGCACCATATTAACAACACACCATTATAAAAAGGCAGAGAGGGTTTGCCCCATCTCTTTTTCTGCACCTCCTCTGCACAAGGTCTAATGCTCATCAGTTCAAATTAGGCTATCTCAACTCAATTTGGCAGGAAGATTAACATGAAGTGAGCAGTTTTTCAACCAGTTAGTATTTTACTATTGCACAAAACTGAATCAGCTTACAATGCTATCAGACAAGCACCAGATCCGCCTCAGGATCCATTAGAGGAAATGGAGATGGAAGAGGCTTAGCCTCTTCTGAGAAGCACACAATTCAGTTCAAAACTATTCCATGGAGCTATACCTTACACAGAATCTGGTTCCATTGCACCATAACACTGTTGCCTATGCTCAATTTACTCACTGACTCTGCTTCCTATTGCAAATTCTCAATAAAAGTTACAAGTCATTCCTTTCCTTTTATCCTCTGAACACTCCCTCTACCCTCCACTGAAGTTGGAGACTGCAACTTCCACTGTTCTGTAGTAGTAAAGATCATGTAATAGAACATTTCTGCTGTAAACAGAAAAACGGTAGTTCTCCCTCTTCCCTCCTACTGTACCAAGACATCACTGCACAAGGAAATAAATCCTGTGTTTCACAGGAGAAAACTTTTGTACTACTTTTCAGACACATTCACTTCTGATCCAAGCTCATTCTGCAGTTACGTAAACACTTGTGCTAGTATCAGAACACAAGGGCAAAAATGAGGCAAGAGGTGAGGAAACTTCTTTGGCTGCACCCCCAGCTAACGGGCATTTGAACTGAAAGCTGAGACTGCAGCTCCACAGCAACCTTAAGCTGACCTAACTGTTGGCTTCTACTTTCTGGATCCATTTCAGTGAATCAAGCTAAAAGAGAAGTATTCACTTCACTGTGCAAATTCTCTGGCAACCTAGAACAGGAAACAGCTCACAGCAGAGGCACCTAACAAGTGCCAGAACCAGCACAAGAAAGCAGGTAGGCATACAGATACTGCTGGTACGCAAGTCATAGATGGCCTTGGCTGCCACAGAAGTGCAGCATTCGTTTCTTAGACTAATGATGCAGAACACAATTTTCAACGAAATTACACTTATTTAATGCTTTTACACATGAAATATCTAAAAGAAAGAGTAAACTACTCAGGCATGCTGACAAATTAGTCAACATCAAAAATAAGCTTTAAGATCTGTTAATACATGTATTTAGAAATTGAAAAGGAGTGGTTGTTGAAAAACGCACAATGGAAAAGTCTTATAGTACAAAACCAGGAAAACCTCCTCCTTTCAAAGTTATTTTTCAAGTCTTCAGTACTACAATGCAAAACTTTTGCCAATTCAAACAAATTATTGCCCTATCTAAAAACAAGTTATTTTACCAGCATAATGTGTAATCGTTATTTTACTACCTAATGTAGCATTAGGTACTTCTAAATACAGTACCGGCAAAGAACTTGCACTGATGATGAATCAGTGTTCAAAGCCTAAGTCACCTGAAGTTTCCAAATTGGCTACCCTGAAATTGTAGCATCAGCTGAAGCGACTCAAGCCTTCACAAATACCCTAGGTGGGGCTCATTTGTCTATCCATCTCGTTTACCATCTTTGCAATCAAATTTCTACATGTCAGGAAACTTGGGGCTTATTCAGAGTTTTTCTGCTTACTGAAATTAACGGGTTTTTTTTTCCTTTCTCTCATCATCAGGTAAATTTCATCAGTTTGCTCTTTGCATTATTCCAGCAACCATCAAGTTGAGGCTGACGCCAGGAAACTGGATTAACCTCCTGATGACAGTACTCCTGAGGCTAGTTAGACCTCTGGCAAGAAAAGGTGGAAAAGGACTACCGTTAGGGCGAGGCGGTGGAAATACCTAGCTACACAAGTGGGTTACAATCACTTACTCTTATGCACATCTAGGAGAGGAAAACCTTCACTTTTCTTTCGGCCACGTAAGTCCCCGATTCCTCGGGCTTCTCTTGGTCTTCCCCTGACCTCACACACTCTTTGTTTAAAGTATTTTTTTAATTCAAGCATTGAAAACTCCTGCCATACGTCCTGCTGTGCAGACTTTCTGTGCGCAGGAATCAGTTACCATGACAGCACACTACCTAGAGAAAGAACATGGCTCCCAGCACAGGGAGAACGGAGTTTTCCCACTAGGCAGCAGCAGGTGGAGCCATCAGTCAAGGACCGTAACACGCTCGTACGCTAACGGCTGAGCCTTGTAAGGCTTAACTTTAAAAAAAAAAAAAAATACCCTAGTCTTGTGTTGCTGTTGACGTGTCTGGGTTACAAGTCGCAAATTTCATTTTCCAAATAAAAAATTCCTGAAGAAGAAACAGCAACTTGCATGGTGAAAGAGCAACGTGCGAGTTCAGGCAGTAACTCCCACTGACCACACGGAGTCCACAGCGGACTACCCGAAGCCTCTTTTTTTCCTGGCAGGTTAAGAAAATTTTTGAAAAAAAAAAAAACCACCACGAACAGGGAACTTCAGGCGAGCGCGTT